TATAAAACTCAGACTATTATCTAACACTTTCACTTACCTCGTGCCACATCTCCACGCCTCTTTCGACGTTACACAATTGGTGATCGCGACGTAGCGACAGACTCGCCGTTATAACCCCAACAATATGAATCTAAACCAATTATTCTTCAATTTTTTCTTGCATTGTGATTGATTCATTATAAAAATATATAAATTTTTTTTGTATATTTATCAAATCTTTATATTAACAAAACATATTATATACAATTCAGAACAAAAAAAATCACCTTTAATATTTTTATTATAACTTTATAAAAAATTATTGAAATAATATAAAAATTTTAATATATATTTTTTAAAACTTAAAAAATAAAATTACTTAAAGATTTTTTATAAAATTTATTATTAAAAATTTAATTTTTTTTAAATATAAATTTAACATGAATGGAAATTGTAATTTTTAGATAAAAAAAATAATTTAAATATTATTTTTACAGTATTTGTTACTTGATAAAATTCATTTATTTTATATAAAAATCTATAAATATATTTTTTATAATCTAAAAAAAAAAGTTATTTAAGCACTTTTTTATAAAATAAATTTACTTTTCTAAATTTAAAATAAAATAAAATTAAATAAATACATATTTTTCAATAAAATTTATGTTTTTTTTCCCATATATTCTAAAAAATATTTTTGTAAAATTTCATAATATTTAAATAATTATTTATTGAATTATAATTAAAAATATTAATAAAAAAAAAGGTATTTTTTTTTGTTCCAAACTATATATAGTATATTTGATTATAACCAATTTTGTAATTACTTGTAATATTTTAAACCTACTATTGTATAAAAATCATATTATTATCTGTAACTTTAATATTAACCAATATATATTCCACATATAAATATTCTATCTATAGTAGTAAACAAAATTTTTTAAACAAAATAATATTAATACATAATTAACATTATATTTAAAAATACATGATATTCTTTAATTTTACTTAAAAATAAGTTTATGATTTTTAATAGTTTTCAAATAATAATATCAATAAAATTTATTGATCCAATATAAATTATTTATTTTATTTTATTTTTAATATTACTTGATGAATATATTATTAAATAAAATTACACTTAGTAAAAAATTTTTAAGATATAATATTTATTATAAAAAATTTTATTAAAAATTCAATAATCTAAAATAGGTAATTCCTATTATCTATTTATTTAAATATATTTTTATATATATTCTTTATTATTTGTAAAAAATTTGTTGTTCAAATACTGTAACTTTGAGCACGTATGTAGCATATTCTATCAATTTTATATTTTTATTCATAATATATTAAATAGCAAAGATAGAGTATTACTATTTGATTCATGTAACCCGAGAACTTTTCTACTTAAAAAATTTTAAACGTAATTTAAATACATAAAGGCTTATATATAAAAGTATTCAAGCGTAACCAAAAAATCTTACTAATAACCCTAAAATTAGGATAAAAATGACCATTATTGCTTTTAAATGGTACATCTTTGACCGACTGCTAAAGTCGATAATGTTCTACATAAAATAAATTTAAGGAAGTTATTATAATATAAAAATTAAATTATATATAAAGGTTAGATCTTTCCCTTCTTACGTCCATAAACACGAATGACATCGAGATAACTATCATTATCTTCTAATTCCTTTCCAAATGTATTGATCATTTCGTCAAATTCATCCGAGGTTACTTCTAAAACTGGCAATAATACGGATTTCATGTTGGAAAATACATTCTTGGTATTGTCAACGGCCTATGAAGAAAATTTGTGAATTAGCAGAATCATCGAAATTTTATAATGCAGCATAAAACTCAATACCGCTTTTCCTAGCTTTCCATCTTCTGTTTTGTATCGCATCATATTTCTTTCCTCATGGATATCTTCGAGTTGACCATTTTGTTCTAATAATGAACATAGTCTATAGCTTATATTATTATCAAGATTTCGATTGTTGTGTAGTTTACAGGCTAAACGTACGTTTCTGGTTAATACTTTAAATATAACTTTTAAATATTAATTATTTACATATGCCTTACCAGCATCCCACATTTTAGTTGAAACAGGCCCCAATTTATGACCAAACGGGCTAACTTCTGATAGCTAAAAGATCAACGTTACAAAAAATTCTAATTAAAAAAAATGCAATTTTTTAGTAATAAATACCTCCAAGTAACCTCCGGGTTTTAAAACTCTGGTTAATTCTAAGATAACGCCAGGCCAACGATCCAAAGGAATCGCACTAATCATTAAACGTTGAAATACAAAATCAAAGGTGCTATCTTCAAAGGACAATCCGTTTAAAATATTCGCATAAATGACGGAAACATTAATAGGTTTGATATCAGTAGGTTGAATAGGAGAGATATCGACTCCTATGATTTGTGTCTTTGGATAATCCGTTGCCATATCGAACATCCAAGAACCTGCACCACAACTTTCACAAAATAAAATCAATTTTATTATTTATTTATAAATATTCATTACAGACTTTATTATTCTAGCTTACCCTACATCAAGAACCTTTGAACCATTTTTATCTAAGACATGTTCAACAGGAGCAAAAAAATTGCTCTTGTAGATGTGCCTATATAAAAAATGTTGCAAATGTAATCGATCTAATTCTTCATAGTCGTTTGGGAGATAGTATTTAGAATTTGCATCATTATGATATCTCCTTCCGTCAATTTTTCGAAAATCGGATTGCAAAGTTGTTTGTTCTGTTGGTTTCGAATCTGCCTTGATTAGTTTTTTAGGCGTATTTCCCATATTTTCAATATCACGTCATTTGAAATGTAGAAACTTCGGATATTTATACCGTCTATGTTCCACAGATATTTGATTACAGAAACATTTATAAACATGAAAACTCACTGCAGCTATAAATTATTTGAATGCATATACAGTACACGTAATTCAAGATTAGTTATTAAATGGTTCCGCGAAACTATAACTTACGGTCTTTACATAATTGAATGTTGACTTTAAAAAGTTACTCCGAAATTCAACATTAAATTAATATTTATTTAAATAATGATTTTTTTTTCTTGTGTGTATGTGCCAAGCATTGTATTTACGAGTGCCAAGTATTGTTTTCCTTTTCATACCCGCACTTAAATAAAACATGAATCACTCCGAGATGACATTTGTGCAACAGCTTGTGTATTTTTTCCGCAATGTAAATCAATTCGTATAATAAAATACTGTATAAAAAAAAAACAGGTTTGTGCCGGTCAACTGCAGTTTTGCGTTAGCATATACTGTATAAACGTATACAACATATTTTTTTTTTAACCCTTGCCATCAATTCAGGTACCTGTTTTCATTACCTACTAGTCTCCTGGTGTTTCTCCAGGGTACAGAGGTGATGACGTCTGTCCTAATTACTTGTCTTAGGCCTAAGCCTCTAAGTATAGACGGTGGGGGTGGAAAGTTGCTATTTCAAGGCAAGCAGACCTTTGCTATC